TCCGAGACGGGCCGGGGAGTCTTTGTGACCTTTGGTTCGATGGCTGGTCACCCTGGGGCATGGTGGCTCCAAGGGAACGGGTGGGGCTGGGAGCTGGGGTCAGCAGGCCCACCTGCCGGGGCATGAGGTGCCAGTGAGCGCCCACGGAACCACGTGCGGCACACACGCACATGTCTCATGTGTGACCCGTGGGTGCTGGTTTCCCACGCGCAGCCCGGTTCCTCCTGGTGGCCACGTGCTGTGTGCTCTCTAAACCGATGGGACCCCGGCCTCACGCACAGGAGACGAAGGCGTCCTGGGGACTCCAGTAGGGTTGCGTCAAATGCCACCTGCAGAACCTGATCACACCCCCTGCAGGTCCTTCTGTTCTTTCCCCGGAAGTCGCCTTCAGGAGCTTGCTGCGTCACCCGCATCCATCTGCTGGTGGCAGGGGCGGGGGGGCTGCAACGACAAAGTCCTGCAGGCTGGGTGGCTTAGACGACATTGGCTTCCTCACAGTTCTGGAAGCTGGCAGCTGGGAGTCTGAGGCCAGGGCTGACTCCTCCTGGGTTCACAGACAGCCATCTCCTTCCCGCATCTCCACATGGTCTTCCTGCTGTGACGGGCCTGCGTCTGGATTCTGTCTTCTGATAAGCACGGCAGACCTACGGGGTTGGGGTCCAACCCTATGACCTGCTCTTACCTTAACCACCTCTTTTAAGACCCTGTCTTCAGACACAGTCACGTTCTGGGATCCCAGGCATTAGAGACGGCCACATTCTGGGGTCAGGGTCGGGGTTGGGCCACCACCGCAAAGCGAGTGTCAGGAGAAAGTGAGTGGCACTGTTCTGTCAGCTTCCCTGTGCGTATAACAGTTATGTTCATGCTAACCTATAGTCTTTTAAGTGTGCAATAGCATTATGTCTAAAAAAACCTACCTTAATGACAAATCCTCCATTGATAAAAAATGCCGACCCTCCTCGGAGCCCTCAGTGAATCCTCTCCTTTTTGCTGGTGTGGGGTCTGGCCTCCATGTTGGTCAGAACGCAGCATCTGTGGAGTGCGATAAAACGAGGGATGCCTGTAGAGGAATTTGGGGGGATACAGCTCAGCCCGCGATGTCATCCACCCTCTTTCCCATGGCCTGTCTCACCCCCTGATCTGTCCCAAACTGTCGGACTCTCTGCTCAGCAGAGCTGCAGCCCAGCCTCGGGGCCTCTTACTCCTGTCCCCACCTCTGGAGACTCCAGCAGTTCTCCACTGTATCTGTATCATGGGAAAGTTCAAGTTTGCCCCAGAGCCAGACCGGCGGAGCACAGGCTGGTTCTCTGTGTCCCCTCTGCTCATCCCCTCTGCCTGAGCACAGCCTGCAGAGCCCCGCATGGGGTCCTGTGGGTGCTGCCCCTGGGAGATCTCATCCTCCACCTCCCGGCCCCCCACCAGACGGGTGTCTCTGGGGAGGGCGTGGCTCTGCTCCCCTTTCTCTTGGACATCTGCAGACCCCCTCCTCCCTGTGTCCCATTTCCAACCATCCGGGGAACCCCGAAGGCACCCTGCCTGGGCCCCCTAAGTGTGGGCTTGGGAGCAGGGAGGGAAGGGGGGGAGCAGACAAGGAGGACGCGGCCGGGATGTGCTGGCCGGCAGACCCTCAGTTAGTGTGCAGACGACTCATGCGGTCGGGATGCCTAAGTAATACAGACATGGGTAAATATTTGTAGCCCATTTCCGTTGCTCTGCGACATACGGGTTATTATACCAGAGGCACCCATCTTCCCATCGGAAGGGGCCTTGCTGTAGACCAATCCCTACGTCGAGTGGCTATAAATGAAGAAGACGGGCTCCTACAAGCCGTAGAGACTTGTGTTTCTTGCTGCTTCCTGCTCGTGTTCCCTCACGTGTGAACAGCACAGACGAGGGCTCGGCTTCCACGGGCGGCCCGCGCTCCCCAGTGCTGGTCTGGGGCCGTGTGGCCTTTCTGCCGCTCACGGCGGTGGCCCTGAGGAATGCGGTTGTCCTGGCAGGGAGTGGGCCTGGGCGACTGGAGGTCAAGGGGAGGAGGTCACAGAGAGTGGAGCTGAGTTAGGCCAAGAAGAGGGCTAACCGAAGTCGGCATGGGGCGCCCTGCTCTGAACAGGGAGCGGGGGGCTGGGGTGTGGGGAGAAGGTGTCAGCAGGCCCTTGAGTGTTCTCGCCAGGCCCGTGGAACCCCACCCCAGGCAGTGTTCCCCGAGTCTCCCTTCCTGCCACCCCCACTCTCAAAGCCCTTCTTGCGAGCGCTCAGCCCTAATGAAAAGCTGTTGGCTGCTCGGTGCCCCAGGAACAAGGCGGGATCCCCAGCAATAACCCACATTGGGGGAAGTTTGAAGTCTCACATCAGATGCTCTCCCTGTAGGCTGTTTCTCTGTCCTGGCGCCATCTTGAACCATGCTTTCCTGCCAGAACGCTCTCGACAAAGAACCACGGTCACGGTCTCGTCTTTGATAGTGCCTAGAGGGCCCTTATTCTCTCCATCCTGAGTGTTTGTTCTCTGGTAGGAAGCTCACGCACCCTGTCCCGGGACCTGGACAGCGGGGCCAGGACCACGGTGGCACGACCCTGGCACCCAGGGCCCACAGGGAAGGAGTGCTGACTCTCGGATCTGGGCAGCAGCACTGGCTTTTGCAGGAGCCTGGTTTTGCACGTGCGCGGTGCTCGCCCCTTCCTCCTTCCTGCTCCGGACTCGGAGGAGTAGCTTCTGTGCGTCCAGCCGGTCAGTGTGGAGAGCAGGCGATGCCAATACTCACAGGTCCCACTGGTACATTTCTGTCTCAAGGTGACTGCAGAGCAGACGTCTGGAGAAGTCTGGAGATGCCGCCAGAAGCGGGGACAGTAGGTCTTTCCCTGGCAGTGAGGACGTGGCTGGGAGAGAATCAGGATTGCCCCGGTGGTCGGGGTGGGGAGGCGGGGTGGCCACTGGCAGTAGGAAGTCTGAGAAGGAAGGCACGGAGGTGGGATGAAAACTCCCCCAGGGTGTGACGTGAGAGAGGGAGGAGCCCACGGAGGCGGGAGTCCAGGGTGCAGCCGCCACGGCCGCACAGAGGCCAGCGGAGGACAACCAGAGACGGGCTGTGCGTGGCACCGAGTCCACGGGTAGCTGTGGCTGAGTCTCTCCATGGCGGGGGGTGTGGCTGAAGCCCGACGGGGCATCTGAGGATTGTAACCACTACCCCGTTTCTCATTTATTTATCCACAGGAGATAGTTGGTAGCCATCACGTGGCTATGTCTGTACCTCTAGCAGGTCCTTGGCACCTTGTCATTCGGGGTGTTTGCCATGACATGGTATCCTTGTTCTTGTACTGAGGCTCTGCTGGGATCTGGGACCAGTTGAAGTTGGCAAGTTGCAGGGGTCCCCCTGCCCAGCGATGGGCCAAGGAGACCAGCAGCTGCCTGCGTCTCGGTTCGGTGCAGCAGCCACATTCCCCGGTCTGTGGCACGTGTCTTGTGAAAGTCAAGGGCCCCCTTGGGTGCCGTGAAGACTCCTCAGTGTCACGATCTCAGGACTGGGCGACAAGATGAAATCTCTTCCTGGGGACACGGGGCGGGATGATGCTCCCAAACCTGCCTCAGATTCCAGAGTCCAAGTGGAGTCTCCCCAACACCGGCGAAGGTATGGGCCACAGATACACTGGGGGCTCTCCTCTCCTCTTGGGTCGCAGCGTGAGTCTCCAGGTCCGTGTGCCAGTCCTGCTCACGCCCTCGAGCCGGGGGTGAAGGGAGGGCCCGGGGTGTGCGCCAGCTGGAGGGTTTGGGGCCGGGGGAAGGAGGGAGACTGCCCCACACTCATGGCTGCAGTCTGTGCAGCCAGGGGCCGGGGGAGCTGCTGGCGCCCGGAAAACAAGGACGGACGAGGCAGACCGCACACTGGCGTGGCAGCACGGCTGTGCCTTCGAACAGCCACCTTTCTGACAGCAAGACACAGAGGCGGCCCCGGTGCCCGTCGACAGAGGGGCGGATAAGACAGCCATGGGACGTATACACAACGGAGTACTACGGGGCCGTAAAGAAGGGCGGAATCTTACCGTTGGTGACGGCGCGGGTGGGCCTGGAGGGCATTATGCTCAGTGAAACACGTCAGCCAGCCAGAGGAAGACAACTCCCACGTGGTGTCGCTCATGTGTGGAATCTGAAGAGCAGAATGAATGAACAAACGCAGCAGAAAGGGACCCAGAGACACAGAGAACAGACTGAGGGTTGCCAGATGGGGGCGGGGCTGGGGGTGGAGTGACAAAGGTAGACGGGATTAAGAAGCACGCACTGGCAGTTACAAAATAGCCGTGGGGATGTAAAGCACAGGGAATATAGCCAATAATATTGTAGTAACGACGGGTGGGGCCAGGTGGGGGCTGGAGTTGCTGGGGAAGCCTTCGTAAATTACATACATGTCTAACCATTGTGAGTGCACCTGAAGCTAGCACAATATTCAGTGCCAACTGTACCTGAAAAGTAAAATAAAAAATAAAATAGGGCACACAAACCTTCTTTCCACTGACACGGACGAGTGTGTTTTTACGTACTGAGACCCCGCCCCCCTTGAATTAACGAACAGTGGCAAACCTCTAATGATCTTTGTGCTTCTGACTTTGACTTTTTTTTTTTTTGGTTTCAGATAAATTTCTATTTTTATTTATTTTGTTTTTAAACTATTTTTTATTTTAATCATTGTTCAAGTACAGTTTTCTCCCTTTTACTCCCATTCCAGCCCACCCACCCATCCCTCCCATTACCACCCTCCCCCTAGATTTTGTCCATGTGTCCTTTAAATTTGTTCCTGTAAACCCTTCCCATTCTCCCCTGAAATTCCCTCTTCTCTCCCCTCTGGCCACTTGGACTTCTTAAAAAAAAAAAATTGGTCATTTCCGTCTCTCCCGTGCAGAATCTGGAGCAGCGACCTGGTGTGTGTTCCATCTTTGCGCCACTAGGGGGCCCTTGGCGCTCTCCGATGCCTGCCAGGCCCTCAGACAGGTGAACGCATCTCATTGGCTCGCGGGAGGCATGATGCCACCCGGCAGCCCTTTTTAAGAGAAAAGCCAGGACCCGCGGACTAGCAACCCCTCAGCAGTGCTCTCCGTGCTGAGCAGCAGGACCAGCGCTGCGGTGAAGGCATCATGAGCGAGGTGAGCCGTATTTCTCCTGGAGGAGGGAAACCCCGGGGCGGGGAGGGCGGAGCGGTGATGAGAAGGGACCTCGGCTCTCTCCGAAAACGCGAAGGAGAACACGGCAGCCTTGGAACTATTTGCTCCGAGGACCGGCACTATTTATAGCTTGCTTTGCAGGGCAAGTGCAGGAACGGATTCCGTCTGCAACTTTTAACATTTGCCTTAGAAAGAGAAAGGGATGATGCATCGTGGGCTTCCGATGCCATTGGGACTTTGGAAAGCGCTTTGGGTGTTAGCCCTCAGGAGAGAAAGCCGGTTGTCGGAGCGTCTCACGAAGATCTGTGCTACTTCCCCGTGTGCGTGTGTGTGTGTGTGTGTGTGTGTGTGTGTGTGTGTGCCGTAGGGAACACCTTTCGGAGAGCCAGCAGGCAGGCGGCGTGGGGAAAGCCGGCTTCTTGGGCAGAGCGGTGGGGAGAGGGGGTGCCCCTGCCTGGCGCGGGGACACACAGGCTGTGCAAACGAGGTCTGCCGTTCCTCGGGTGCCAGGGCGGGAGAGGCACCTCGGTCGGACTGTGAACAGTCTGTGTGTCCGTGCGCCCCTGTACCCAACACGGCAGAGCCTTGGCAGAAGAGGAGTGACCATTTAAAATTGAAAGTCACTTCCCGGAATGTGTTTACACAGAATACGTTTTGGTGGGGCACGCTGACGGGGCTTGTTTTATTTTTTTTGAAAGATCTTATTTTCTTTCTTTCTAATGGGGCAGGTTTGCATTATGTATGCATCACTCCCCTCTAACTCTGCAGCTGAGCCCATTTTCGCTTCCTTTCGGTTGGTGCTTCAATGATCACTTTGAAAAGTCTTTTATCTTCTCTGCCCCCTTTTTTTTGGCAGATGGGAGGTTCTTTTTTTGGATGTCTAGAGTAAAATTAACAACTTCGGAACTAACATGTTTCTCCCTTGCTTTGATCTCTAGGATGGGTGACTTCTGATATAAACATGACAGGGAGAAACCGTGGGCGAAGCCTGATAAAATTTAGGAAGGGGTTTGGGATGGAGCCGAAGGCTCAAGCGAGGGGGCGGGCGAGTGTGGGGAGGAAGGTGGAAGGGCCGGAACCCTTCCCACAACACCTGCATCCACAGCAGCAGCTCCCGCTGGCCCAGCGACCTCAGCTACTGTATGTGAGCCTCCCACCCACTCTGTAGGGTGGTTGCTGGTATTATTCTCCCTTGACAGATGAGGAAACTGAGGCATGGAGTTCAAGGTCAACTAGTTCAAAGCCACCAGGGGGTGGCAGAGCCAGAACTTGGGCTGCAATGCTGGGCAGCCAACTGCAACTTAGATGTTGGCGTCCAAGTGCATAAGGGATTCTCTGCACAGCAGGTGCTGGAGAGGGAGGAAGAGGAGGAGGGGGAGGGCGGGAGCCCAGGAAAAGGAGGTGGGGCCCTGGAGTGGACACAGGGAAATGAGTCTCTGGCCCCCATTTCCTAGGCACCTGGGTGGGGGACTTTCTGCTGGGCTCTGGAGATTCCAGAACATTGTCTGTGTGAGCTCACCTTGCTTGCAACAAGACGGGACGGCTGTGTGCGGCAGGTTTTATGCACGATCTGGTGGTTCACGTGACAGAAGGACTTGGAAACCAGCATGGCCCTGGGGCCCCCTTTCTTTGATCAGGTCAGCAGCTGGGGGGGCCTCCGCCAGTTCTCCTCCTCACCGGCTCAGCCACCCCCCTTCTGCTGGGCTCTCTCGAATGCCCCAGCTCCGAGGTGCCCACCGAACAGTGGGTCCCCAGGGGCAACAGCAGATGCCCCAGACCCCACCCCATGATTAGGGCCCCAACCTCGTTTCTGCTGGACACGACATTAAGGCTGCCCAGCCCCGGCATTCCATCGGACACGTTGGCAGGCGGCTGTAAGAATTCTCCGCCTTCGGTCTGTGACTCTGGATAAAATCCCACAAGGTGCACAGTCTTCCCCTCAGCTGCCCACGAGACCCTTCCTGCTCCTGCACGTACGCCCCCTGCCCCTCCAGTAGCCACCTCCCCCTGGGGTCCTGTGCAGCCCCGCCCGCTGGCCGCCTTCGGGGTGACCAGCCCTCTGGCTGATCTCCCAGTTTCTGGGGGTGTGCTCCTCGGAGAGGGGGGATTTGTCCTTTGACGAAACCTTAATCTGCTTAAAACATTTAATAAAGTCAAACAGAAGCTCCTTTCTGGCGAGGGGACTGGAAACTCCCCCGCCCCTGCCCTTTCTCCTCGAGCTTTTCTTGAGTTGGACGGATGACACGTGGCTGCTAGTTTTAATCAGTCAGGCAGGGATGGGCTTCGGATGACCTTCATTGACTCATGGACCCCACTGCCACAAGGGTCAGAGCAGAGAGTTTAGCCAGACATCCTCTGGCTTCAGCGTTTCTTGGAGGCTGGCGGGCGAAGAGTCCCTGCCCCAGCCGTCAGGCTGCAGTGCCCAGGGCAGAGTCCCGAGCGCACGGCTGCCCCCCTGGGCCAGTGCACGAGCCCGGCTGGGTGGACAGACCCTCCGAGGGCCCCCTGCTCCTGGGGGTGGGCCCTGCTCCTCCAGGTCCTCCAGCCTTTAAGGGGACGGAAAGTGGGGGGAAAACTGAGCCTGGAGCTGGCTTCACACTGGGAGGTTTTACCACTCAATGTCTTCTTTGTCCCCGGTGACAATGCTTTTTTTGGGGGAATGACACATGATTGAAAAGAGCAGCTCAAGTATAACAAGGCAAGTCAAGTCCAAATTTAGGGCAATGCGAGAGAGCGGAGGTGGTTTGTGGGGGCGTCTAATTTACATTTCAGTATTAAAGTGTGTCAGATGTGCCTGGAGCAATCTAGAAATAAACTGGAAGATAATTCAGCAGGGATCAGAGTGCAGGCTTAGGGGTGTTAGCCCGGTCGGAAACCCGGGGTGCCAAGTGGAAGTTTACACACTGAACCCTCTCCGCTCCCTGCTGGGCTCCCAGGCACCGGACGGAAGGATGGCAAGGTCCCCTTTGAGTAGCCACCTCTCACTATCTAAAAGAAAGGAGTCCCGTGAACAACAAAAATGAGCCTCATTTTCTTAGCCAGGTGTGTGTTTTCAGGTTGCACTGCACAAGAAGTCATTTAGAAGAGCCAGCAGCAAAACGTGAGTGCACGAAGGGAAACATTTGGAGAGTTGATTTAACAATGACGCACCACCGCCCTGTTTATGAGGGGGTGGGGTGGGGGAGCTCCGGTTGCATAACACATCAGCTGACAGCTATTAATTAGAGTGGGGACCCTTCTGGGAAAGCATCCTCGTAAGCCTTCAGTTTCGCCGTCACGGGTGCCTCTCTTTCATCGGCTTGGATGGGAGGTTGCGACTCGGTGCCAAGGTTATGACCGTTTCTTCCACCCAGACATTGGCCACAAGAACAGGACTGTCTGTCGGAGGCGTGGTTTGATCACACCAAGGACATTTAAGGGCAAATCTTCAGACCCGCATGTCTGTCCTTAGCACAGAATGAGAAACTACTGCCTTATATATCACATCTCTAAAGAAAGAGGGAAGCAGCGGTATCGTGCTGGACAGAGACCACAAACAGAGGCCAGTGCCACTGACATCCTGGGGTGGGGGTGTAGGAAAGACACAATTTTTCTTTTGTCTAAAGCAGCCAGTGGTTACAGAATACCATGTGATGCTGGTGTGGGGCTTACCTAGTTGGCCCTCAGAGCACCCTGCTGGTGAGACACACAGCCAGATGAAACCCAGCGGCAGGGACAATGATTATGGTCGTGCGCCCTGATGACGTCACCGTGACCTGACCACTGGCCGCTGGATGGACGATTAGGTTCACGGGGAGCTGTATGGTTCAGACCAGTTGAGCGCAGACTCTGAGGGTCACTGTGTAACATGTGGGTTTTGCAGCTGGCCCCCAAGGCCTAGCGACAGAAGGTCAAAGGGCAATTGAATTTCTCACGTGGCGTCGCCCTCACTTGGGCATGTAAAGCGGTGACGGTATGGGAAGATGCAGCGAGATCCACATGGTTTTGCTGAGTCACACAGTGATAGACACTCTCTCCCCTCTAACCGGAGACAGGAGGTTCAGAAGGACACGAATCCCAGCGTGGGCTCGAAGTTCCACTTTTCCCGACCCGGAAGAGGCCACAGTTTTGCGCGCAGCCATGTGTGCGGGGCTGACGAGTGTGGGGGGGCCTCCACGCAGCAGGCCCCCCCGTTCCTGCGTGTGACAAGGGAGGCGGCGGTGCTGAGAACTTTCACTGTTTTTCTCCTTCGAACGCTAACAGCGACAGGGTGCAAGATGTATTATTATTATTATTATTATTTTTTTTTCCAGAAAGGAAGGTTGAATACATGAGTCACAGCTGACTTTATTAAAGGCTGGGTGGCATCGTGCAATCAGGATGACAGGGAAACAGGGGCTTTCGTGACGGGGGCGGGGGTGCCTTGCATTTATGATGAGCCCGTTCTCGGCGTTGTTTTTTAAGGTTCTGGTTTCTGCTCTCCTGCTTCAGTCTCGGCACTCTCCTAGGTGGGAGGCATCCACAGTGCGTCTGCGGCCCTGTTTCTCGTCCGCCGGGTGCACTGTACTCTTTGAATGTATGAATAATATCATGAGCCCGAGCCTGGGGCTTTGCATGAATTCAGAACGACTTTCTGGAAAGAGCTTCCTGCTGGGGAAGAAGAAGGTGTTTCGGGGCTGCGTATGCACAGGTTTGTATTATGTTCGACTGGTATTTTAATAAAACACAGCATTAAGGGCCCTGCTGTTACAGTGTTGCCTTATTCTGTTTGGGCTGCTAGAGCAAAATACCAGAGCTGGGTGATTATAAAAAAACAGAAATGTATTGCTCACAGTTCCGGAGGCTGGAAGTCCAAGATCCGTGTGAAGCACCGTCAGGCGAGGGCTGTCTTTTGGGTCACAGACTTCTCGCGGAGTCTTCCCTTGGGGGAAGGGGCGAGGGCGCTCTCGGGGTCTCCGTGAACACGACACTGATCCCATTCCCGAGGGCCCCATCATCCCGCG